GGGGCTGAGAGAGTGTGCATGCATTTTTTAAAATTTTTTTTAATTTTTAAAAAATATTTATTTATTTATTTTTGGTGCTTCGGCCCCCTCCAATTGTCTGAGGGACAGCAACCCGGCCCCCGGCTCAAAGAGGTTGCTTACCCCTGGTCTAAAGCAACAGAGATTCCCTAGCAGTCTCTCACCCAAATAGTAACCAGGGCTGACCCTGCTTAGCTTCCAAGATCAGATGGGATCTGGTGGTTTCTTCCTCTGAAATATAGTATTTGTTGGTGGTCTCACATCCAAGTACTATCCGGGGCTTACCTTGCTTAGCTTCCAGAATCAGATGGGATCTGGCAACTTTAGTATATTTAGCCCCATGTCACTGACTTTTTGTATTAAACTTTAGTAGAAACACTGAGTCAGTAGGAACTAGATGTAAGTCAATACTTTCATGCCTTCTCTTGATCTTACTGTATTGGAACAAATAATTGGGCTGAGTTCAGAATGCCATCTCCTGTTTCTTCTAGGATCGGTTCCTGGAGCTTTTCTACATGTACGATGAGGATGGGTACCAGACCTACTGTGCCATCTGCTGCGAGGGGACTGAGCTGCTCCTCTGTGACAATGCCAGTTGTTTCAGGTGGGCACCCTCTTTGTCTCCTGCCAACCTTGGCACCTTCTCAGTTGCCCATCTCAGCATCCTTCAAGTGTTTATACTAAACCTAGCCTTATCTTCCCCCCCCTCCCCCAAATGCTGGAGTTGCATCTGTTTACAAGATTAGGCTGTGGAACTCCCTCCCACAGGAAGCCAGTCTGGGCCCTTTTTTATTCACCTTCCAGCTGCAGACACAGGCTCTTTCTAATTGAGATAGGGGGGTTGCAGACTGCCAGAAATAGTGCAAATTGAGTCCACTTTTAGGGTTAGGGTTAGTGCTAAGGAATCATGGGAATTGCATTTTTTTTTCTGAGACATTGAGCCTTCTCTGTCAGAGAGCTCTGGTGCCACAATAAAATACAGTTCCCATGATTCCCTAATCCTAACCCTAACCCTAAAAGTGGACTCAATTTGCACTATTTCTGGCAGTCTGCAACCCCCCATAGACATCTTTTTCTTTTCTGATTGTTGTAAATGGGATTTTTTAATCAGTGCTGCTGCACTTCTATTCTCATATTTTATATTCTCATATTTTGCATACTGTTTTATATCTGTGCTGTTTCAATAGTTGCATGCCATTACTATAATATTACTAATATTGTTACCAATACGGTTGTTTTACTTCATTTACACCCTATCTTTTCCCCAAAGCTAAGAGTGAAGACTGCTGGTAAGATAAAAAGAAATACAAGTGAAACAACATGTAGGTAAAAGAACAGGCAGTTTATGTTTAAAAGTGTGTTAAAACTCTCTAGAGACTTAAAACCATTTTAAAAAGCATCCCTTTAAGAAAAAGAAAGAAAAAAGGTACACAGGGCACCCTAAGAAAAACATTTTCGTAGAACAGCCACTTCTCAGAAATGTCTTGGAATAAAAAGATTTTCACCTCCTGATAAAAGGACAATTAGGAGGGATCCAGCCTGGCCTCTCTTGAGTTTAATTAGATGTTTAATGTTTTTAGAACATTTAAATTGTGTGTGTGTTTATATTTCAGATTGCCTGAACTGATTTTATTGTAAGCACCCCAGATCTTATAATATAGGTTGGGATATAAATATTTTAAGAAACACAACAAAACAAATAGATGGCTTATTTGTTTCCTAACGTATTTACAGTTGGTTATCTGTAGCCACAGATTCTTTATCTACAGATTCCATCATCCAATGGCTTCAAAATATTAATATATAAAATTATATAAAATTAAAATTTGCTTTTTGAACACACACACACACACTTTCCACAAAGCAAACCTTGATTTTACCATTTAATATAAGGGACACCATTTTACTATGGCATTGTATACGATGGGACTTGAGCATCTATAGATTTTGGTATCCACAGGGGTTCCGGCGACCAAACCCGTCGGATACCAAAGGCTCATTGTATTACAGTCATTTTTAAAAGCTGTTTTAATCTGTGTTTCGGGCCGCATGTTGGAAGAAAGATGGGGCATCCATTTAGTGGACAACGGAAACGCTCCCGGTGCTTCAGACCCTGCTTTTGCTCTTTTTGGCAGGTGCTTCTGTGTGGATTGCTTGAATGCCCTGGTGGGTCGCGGGGCGGCCGATGCAGCCCGCAAGGAGGAACCCTGGAGCTGTTACATGTGCCAGCCAGAAATGCGTTACGGTTTGCTCCTGCGGCGGCATGACTGGAACACGCGCCTGAAGGAATTCTTCACCAACGAGAGTGGGCAGGAATACGTAAGTCAGTGGGATGCGATGGGGGAAGAGGCGCAGCTGTTCCTCCAGCTGTTGCAGCAGTCAGTGGTCTCTTGGGGCAAAACAATCTTGAGCAGAATAGCCTTTTCTCAAGCAGAACCTCCTTCCCTCCCTTCCTCCCTTCCCAGGTTTATGGGCACCGTCCAGCCCTTGGCAAGCATTCAGCCATTGGGCAGTGCACTGAGGAAGGAAAAAAAATTAGTTCCTCCAAAAGGATGCTTTTGGGAAGCTTAAAAATGTTGTCTCCCCACCCACCCAAAAAGCAATAAACCAAAAAACCAGTCTTTTAAAAGTGGTCCCAAAAGTTGTCCAGGAATGACATGATGCCACTTCTGATCACACAATGGCAGCTGTGATGGCGCACTGCGTTTCTCTGGACTTCCAGAGTAGTTCAGATACGGGTGGTATGACTCTCTGGCCTCTCTGTAGGGTGGCCACAAGCCAAGAGTGGACATTAGCTGGGAATTGGAAAGGGATGAAGCCCCTCACGGTAGTAATGGGAACATGGACCTTCTCTGTCGCTCTCCTTTAAACCATGGCTAAGTGAAATAAGAGAGCCAGTGTGGCATAGTGGTTTGAGGACTGCATTATGACTGGAGACCAGGGTTCAATTCCCAGCTCAGCCATGAAACCCACAGGGTTTCAAGTCACAAGCTCTCAGCCTTAGGGGAAGTCAATGGCAAACCACCTCTGAAGAAATCTTGCCAAGAAAAGGCCACGATAGATTCGTCCTAGGGTCACCGGAAGTCAGAAACGACTTGAAGGCACAGACAACAATTGAAACAGGACAATTGGGCTTTTCACCATTGACATTGTCTCCCCATTTAAACCATGATATATGTTTTTTTTTTATCACTCAAAACCACAGTACAGGAGGGACTGAGTTGTTGCCCATTCGCCCGTACCCAGTCCCTCAACATGATCAGCAATTGCTCAACCCAATCCTGGGATATGGCGATGTTGCATTATTTATATGACAATTCCTATGGCTGTGCTGAATCCAAACCACTCTCAGCCAAGGGATGTTGGAATTAATGAGGACTACCCTTGTCCTGGCCTAACATTGTACCTATATTGTCTCTGGACTGGCAGAGTTTTGGATCTGCTATAACTCATCTCCACCTTAAGCCTTCTCTGCTGTCTTTAAGGCTTTGCTCCTATCATGTCTTAGCCAGCGGAGAAGTTGTGCCAGCAGATTGCTTTGTTGGCAGAGCTCTGAAGTTAGCTAGCAGAAAAGGATAACCCAGCAGGTCGTCTGTGTCAGAGTTGTTTCCTCCTGATAACAACTCACTTGTGTGTGTGTGTTGTGTGCCTTCAAGTTGCTTCTGACTTACGGCAACCCTAAGGCGACCCTACGATGGGGTTTTCATGGCAAGATTTCTTCAGAGGATGTTTGCCGTTGCCATCTTCTGATGCCGAGAAAATGTGACTTGCCCAAGGTCACCCAACGGTTGCTTGGACTTAGAGGCACATCTTCAGCTCTAACATAGGTTTCTCTTTTTCAGATTTCTTCAGAGGAGGTTTGACACCAATGCCTTCCTCTGAGGTTGAGAAAGTGTGACTTGCCCAAGGTCGGACAGTGGGTTTCCATGGCTGAGCAGGGATTTTTAGCTTGGGCTCTCGGAGCTCTAGTCCAAGACAAACCACTATGCCATGCTGGGTCTTTATAACAGCGTATTTATAGTTATTTCAAGGTATTATATTTTTATAAATATTGGATTTATTTGAGACATAATTATTAAATGTATATGTGTATTAATATGTGTAGGAGGTCAGCATGGTGTAGTGGTTTGAACATTGGACTATGACCCTGGAGATCAGGGTTTGATTCCCTGCTCAGCCATGGAAACTCATTGGGTGACCTTGGGCAAGTCATACTCTCTCAGCCCCAGAAAACCCTGTGACAGGCTTGACTTAGCAGGGTCGCCATAAGTTGGAACTGACTTGAAGGCACATAACTACAACAAATTAATATGTATTACGTGTTTTTTTAAAAAACCAAAATGAATGTTTTAATATGAAGTTTTATGATTTATGGCCTGTACATAAAGATAATGGTCTTGATGGATACTAATGACAATGAATTGCTCTTCCTCCCCTGTTTTCCATCTCAGGAGGCACCAAAAATCTACCCTGCCATCCCGGCAGCAAAGAGGCGGCCCATTAGAGTCCTTTCTCTTTTTGATGGCTTAGCTACAGGTAAGACCGAGGTCCAAATGAGCTTTGAATTTGCGCTCACCATTGACGCTCAGGTTCAGAGGCCACATATGAATATGTGTGGCACAGGGAGCTGTGTTCAGATCCCAGGTCAACTCTGATGCTGGTCATACAGCTGGCTATATCAGTTGTTGATACCTTTGGCTTTGGATTTGTAGCTTTGTGAGCTACTTAGCCTTCTCTGTCAGAGAGCTCTTGTACCACAACAAACTACATTCTAGAAGTGGGCTGAGAAAGCATCCTTTCCCATGTCCTCCTCGACTGGTGGGACACAAAGGTGGGCAGACATAGATAGAGAGACGTGCTCCTTTAAGTATAGGTATTATGGGAAACACGGTTTGCTTTAATTAGGAGTACAAATTGAATTTAAGCCATTGATCTATCCTGTCTTCTAGCCACTGATCCTAGCTCCGTTCTTCATCAATTTGCCCAAGAACTGCCTCAAGCAAGTGGCTTTCACTGCTATCCTTGTGGTAGCCAGTTCCATAACTTAAACTTTTGGTGACGACGTGCTTCCTTTTATCTGTCCTGACTTTTCCGTCCGTTGCACAACTTACCGGTTGCCACTTACCAATGTACACTTTTAAAAAAAGTCCATCCTGCAATGGCAAACCAGAGCATAATAATGAAGGGTTTTTTTTTTTTTGAGGAAAAAAAAAAGTGTGAAATGATAACTCTTGAGAAAACTGCTCCTCTGCCTTGCTAGGTCCTGGTGAGGATGGACCAGAACATTCATCATCACTGCTAAGGACAGCTCAACCCCACAGTGGTGGTCGGCCTCTCTTTCCACAGAGTTTGGCAACTATCTGGATGGCCTGTATTTCTTCTCCTTTAAAGGCCAGTCTGGTTAATTTGGTACTGTTTTTGCTTCTGTCCATTCTCTTCTCTGTATCCCACAATATTCATGATTTGTCCTTTGTTCTGTCACAGCCTGACATCCATGAATATATATATTTTTGGTGTTGTTGCTCATCCAGTGATGTTGAGTTTGTGTGTGTGTGAGAGAGTGAGTCTGTGCGTTGCATGCACAACTAGGTGCTGAGCAATCATTCTGCACGCCTAAGCAATATTGCGATGTGCACACAAACCTTGCAGCTCCTGTGGGGTTTCGTTTTCTCCTGCTAAGGAATCTGAACACCTGGGATGGATGTTTTGGGTGCCGTGGCACTTGGTTGGGGAATTCCAGGGGATCCGAAAGATTCCCATTGATTATTTTAATCACCTGAGAGCCTTCTACTCAATAGGTTACCTGGTGCTGCGGGATCTGGGCATCAAAGTGGAGAAATACGTCGCCTCCGAGATCTGTGAAGACTCCATAGCCGTGGGAACCGTACGGCACGAAGGGAACATCAAATACGTGCATGACGTCAGGAACATCACCAAGAGAAACGTAAGGAAACACAAACTATAGGAAAAGAGATTCCACCTTAACACTAGGAATAATTTCCTGACAGTAAGAGCTGTTTGACAGTGGAACATGATGCCTTGGAGTATGGCGGAGTCTCCTTCTTCAGAGTTTTTAAAGAAAGGCTGGATGGCCATCTGTCACAGGGAAGGCTTGGATGGTGTGTTCCTGCATGGCAAAATGAGAGTGGGTTTAGATGGCCCTTGGGGTCTCTTCCACTTCTAGGATTCTTTGATTCTGTACTATGTGTCTTCCTAGCAGTCTGGCTTGGACATCTTGACAGAGATAGCTGCCCCAATGTGCTTTGCATTACATCTTGGTATGTACACTAGCCCCTCCAAATTCGTGGCAGATCCATTCCAGAATGTCCCCCACCCCCGAAAATGGCGGCTTGCAAATATTCAAGCCCCATTGAAAATAATGGCGCTTAGGCACACGCCACCATTATATCCTTCTCCGCTTGTCCCTCCCACAAAGAGCGGGACTGTGGTAGTTTGTTGTGGTACAATGGTCCCTCCGCAAATGGGGAAGGACAACTACATTTGCAACGTTGGCTCCATATTTTTTGAGGAGCATAGAATCATAGAATTATAGAGTTCGAAGAGACCCCAAGGGCCATCCAGTCCAACCCCATTCTGCCATGTAGGAACTCTCAATCAAAGCATCCCCGACAGATGGCCATCCAGCCTCTGTTTAAAGACCTCTAAAGAAGGAGACTCCACCAAAATCTCCGAGGGAGTGTGTTCCACTGTCGAACCACCCTTACTGTCAGGAAGTTCCTCCTAATATTGAGGTGGAATCTCTTTTCTTGCAGCTTGCATCCATTGTTTCGGGTCCTAGTCTCTGGAGCAGCAGTAAACAAGCTTGCTCCCTCCTCAATATGATATCCCCTCAAATATTTAAACAGGGGTGTTCTCAGGAAAGTGAAGCTCCTTTACCTGGGACCATTTCACACTGCACAGTTATATATAGTGCTGTGATTCAACCTCATCTGCCTTGGCTCCATCCTTTGGAATCCTGGGATTTGCAGTTTAGAATTCTCAGTCCGAGAGCTCTAATGCTAACCCCAAACCACACTCCCTGAGATTCTGTAGGATGCATCTGTAGCTCCTAAAGTAGAGTCACAGTGTTATAATTGTGTAGTGTGAAAGGACCCCTGGAAGAGGTGGTATGTCTCCTATGGACCGTGCTGCCTTTGACCTTGTTTGCTGCTTCCAGCAAAATGAGGGTTGGAGACAGGGCATTGAGGAACCAGAAAGTTGGGTTTCTGACTAATGCTTGAACATTATTCCTTCTGGAATTGGTCTTGACCTGGTGACAACCATGACGCCCAGCACCAAGTCCAGATGGGGAAAAGAAAGATGCTATGGGACAGTCAAGAGGGAGGAAGTACATGGCAGTCAATTTGGGATTGAGCCTAAGAAATTGTGGGTTGGATAAGTCTGGAGGATCTCCAGGCCTTGAGTTTTTTGCATCTCTGCAAAACAGAAGGTGTGATCCCAATGGAGGTCTGGTGGCACAGTGGTTAAATGCTGGTGCTGCAGCCACAAGGTTGTGAGTTCGATCCCAGAGGGCTCCAAGGTTGACTCAGCCTTCCATCCTTTTGTAGGTTGGTAAAATGAGTCCCCAGCTTGTTGGGGACTATTGGCTTACGCATTGTAAACTGCTTAGAGAGTGTTTAGTCCACTATGAAGCGGTATAGAAATGTCAAGTGCTATTGCTATTGTTATCACAAGCAGGCTGAGGTCTTGTGTGTAAAGGTGGTGTCGGACCAAGAGCCCACATTTAAGACTTTCTGGCTTAATGTTGGCTGGAGGATTCTTGGAATTGTAGTGGAAAAAAAGGCAACCCTTTCCCAAGCTCTGAGTTCACTTGATAGAGAAGCAGTGCAGATAAGGAGTGCTATCTTAGAAGCATAGAAGCATAGCACTGGAAGAGACCCCAAGGGCCATCCAGTCCAGCCCCCTGCCATGCAGGAACTCACAATCAAAGAGCACCCCTGACAGTTGTCCATTTAGCCCCTTATAACTTCAAGAGGATTAAATAGAAAAGGTGTTTTCTGAACTAGACCCCTTCAAGATGAAGCAGTGGAGTTCTGGTTTGTTTGAAAGCAGTACCATATAGAATCCTTTTTTTAAAAACAGCCATGTGTTGAGTTCATTACAGTAGTCCAAATGACATGCAATCAAGGCATGTGTCATTAGCCAAATTTGGCTGATGCACAGCTGATGCGTCGTTTTCAGCTGTGCAAATGCTAAAACCTGGGCATCCAGGCTCAGTTCCATGTTCAGGAGCAAAATACTCAGGCTGGAAGCCTGAGATTTCTCGGGGAGCATAACTCCATCAAGCACATGCAGAATCCCTGTTTCCTGATCTCCCTTTTGACTGACCAGAAGCACCTTTGTCTTCTCTGGACACACACACACATCCCTCTCGTGCTTCTGTTTTGATTCTGCTCAGCCTTTTCCTTGTTGCTCCCATTGCAGACATTTGCTTGGGTGAGGAGAGAGTAGTTTTGTGGGGGAGGCATGCTTTCTTTTCTGGTTCTCTGTCTCCATGGGAAGGGAAACCTTCTCCAGAAATAAATTTAGAAGCAAAATCAAGGGCAAAGGGAAATGCTTTGTAACAGGACTGCTGTCACTAAAGGTACCTCATTGCAAAGATCCGGGAGTCAAATTTCTGCCTCTGGGATCACTTGGAAGGCAGGCACAAGGACTCGCCAAAATGCCAAGAAATAGACAAGCAAAATACCCCCAAAGTCTATTTCTGTTTTATTTAAAAAAAAATTTGAATGAAGAGCAGCACAGGTTTCTTTCCAAGTGGTTTAAAAGAAGGTTCTCTTCTCTGACATTTCACCTCTTTTTGGAAGTCTTCACCTCTTTTTGGAAGATTGGAGGGAATTAGGGGACACAAAAACAGTCTTGGGAGCCAGAGATGATCAAGAGTAATGTGAGATAGACAACAGCAGCTAAAATAATCTATGCACAAAGATGAAAAGAGCCAACAATCCGTTTCTGAGAAGATTGGATGTTAACAGCATATGACTTAAAAGAAATGGATAAGATGACGATATTAATATATGAGATAACTTTGGATAGCTAAAAAAATGGGAAGGGTGCTGATTGAATACATGAAAAATAAGGAAGTTTCTTTTATGGTTTTAGGTTTTTAGTAAGAGTAATATATAAAGTAGGGGATTTGTTTAAAAATGTTTTATACTT